ACTACTACTACTACTACTACTACTACGCCTACTACGACCACTACTACGACTACTACCGACTACTACTACTAGTACAAAACCTAACTGTTTACTACTACTACTACTACTACTACTACTAACTACTACTACTACTACTACTACTACGTCTACTTCTACTTCAACTACTACTACTACTACTACTACTACTACTACTACTACTACTACTACTACTACTACTGCTGCTACTACTACTAACTACTACTACTACTACTACTCATACTACTACTATACTACTACTACTACTACTACTACTACTACTACTACTACTACTACTACTACTACTCTGCTACTACTACTGCTACTGCTACTGCTACTGCTACTGCTACTGCTACTGCTACTACTACTACTACTACTACTACTACTACTACTACTACTACTACTACTACTACTACTACTACTACTACTACTACTACTACTACTACTACTACTACTACTACTACTACTACTACTACTGCGTATACTTCTACTTATATTTCTACTTCTACTTCTACTTATACTTTCACTTATAGTTCTACTTTTACTTCTACTTCTACTTCTACTTATACTTCTACTTCTACTTATACTTCTACCTCCACGACGACGACGAAGACGACGACGACGACGACGACGACGACGACGACTACTACTACTACCAGCACCACTACTACTCTTACTACTACTGCTCGCACTCGACCTTATCCACCTCGCACTCCTTCAATTGCTCGTCCTCCTCCTCCTCCGCCTCCTCCTTCCCGTCCAGCTTCCGCGCCCTCAGGTCACCTTGAGGCACACGAGCGCGCCCAAGAGGCATGCGAACACAAGAATGAACATGCCGACGATTAAATAGTTCCACCACCACTCCGAGCCTCTGCCGGCGCGGGGGGCAAGGCGTGGCCCGCTCGCCCCCTGCTCCGCCCGTTGGCCCCATCCTCATCCTCCTCCTCAACCTTCGCCTCCTGCTCCCTTCTCCTCATCCCCCTTTCTCCCGCTACCTCCTCCACCTCCTCCCCCGCCTCCTCCCGCGCCATCCCGCTCCCTCCTCCTGTTGCCACCTCGTCCCGCCACCTCCCGCACCTCCTCCTCCTCCTCCTCCTCCTCCTCCTCCTCATCCTCCGCCTGTTCCTCCTCCTCCTCCTCCTCCTCCTCCTAGTCGTCATTTCATTACCACCGACAACAACAATAGTAATAAGAATAACGACATCAACAACTGTAGATTATCGTCGTCATCATCGTCATCATAATCAGCACCATCATCAGAAGCATCATCATCCTCCTGATCATCCTCATCATCATCAGCATCAGCATCATCAGCATCAGCATCATCATCATCATCATCAGCATCATCATCATCATCATCATCATCATCATCATCATCATCATCATCATCATCATCATCATCATCATCATGATCATCATCATCATGATCATCATCATCATCAACATCATCATCATCATCGTCGTCGTCGTCGTCGCCACCACCACCACCACCATCACCACCACCATTCACTATCACCATCGTGCTCCTCATCCCGCCCCTCCTCTTTCCCGCCCGCACGCCACCCCCCTCTCTTCCTGCTCGCCCTCCCCCTGTCACGAGCCGCTCGTCTCCGAGTCCCCCACCCCACAGTCTGGGGCCTACGGGCCCCGCCGACGGAGAACGCCCCACCTCCCCGGCTCCCCCCGGCCGCCGCCGGGAAGGGATACCGCGGGTTCGCGTCGTGTCGGCCCTGACGTGTTGAGACCACCCGGGATCTCCCCCTCGGGAGCTCGCTGAGGGCGGCCAGGACTACAGTGAGGGCATTTTCTTTCTCGCCTCGCGTGCCGCAGTACCTGCTGGCACTGAGTTCTGAACAGCCACGGCCGCAGCAGCTGGGACCGCTGCCGCGGCGAAAGAGGGCGAACGCCTGTGCACCGCGCGGGGGTCTCCATCGACCCCCCCTGGCGCACGCCAGTTGCACCAGCACGGCGGACGGGCCAGACCGAGGGAATAAGGAACCCTTGGATAAGGAATCCAGGGCCCGAAGCTGGTGAAATTCCCATCGTGGACTGGCCATGGGTATCACTGCCGCCCTCATCAGCACAGAAATCCTCCACCTCATGGGCACGTTTCGTAACGAACACCCCCACCCTACCACGGGTTCGCGTCGTGTCGACCCCGGCGTTGGTTCCTGACACTGCGGGGATCGTTCAACCTGGAACGATCGGCCGTGCTTGAAGCGTCAGGTCGTTCAACATCGACCGATTCTGGGTCGCCAGCGGTGTCCAAGGTGGAACGCCGGCGGCGGGGTCGCCGTCGGTCGGCACGGCGCGAACCTACCTTACCTCCCCAGCTTCCCCTGGTCGCCGACGGGGAGGGATACGAAGGAAAACGGGAAGGGTTGGGTGGGGAGGCGCTGTGCTCCACCTCAGACACTTCACTGGCAGCTGACAACCACGCGCTACTCTCGAAAAAGGCCGTGGCGAGCGTCCACGACTAGGCCACTGTCCACGAGCATGGCAAGATGCAACGCATGAGGAAGGAGGGAAGGAGGATGGGGGGATTGAGGGAGGAGAAGGACCAGGCGACCTGGAACAGGAGGACGACAACGCCGGCGACGACGACCGACGACGACCATTTTATACAGTGTGACCCTCTCCGCTGGTAGAAGTGCACCCTGAACTCCCCACGCCGTCGATACCCCGCCCAGCTCATCTGCGCTTCGCCCCCGCTTCTCCACGAAGCGCCCTCCCTCCCAGCACCGGCATGGGATTTGTACGTCCACAAAGATTGCGTGAGCACGGGATGGGCACGAACAGCGCTGACCCACTATCGTGCTGCGAGGTACCGAGGGGGGTGTCCTCGGGTCCGCATGAGCGAGACGCACTTCCAGACCCCCGACGTCGTGATTTTTTCACAACGTCGAGCCGCCAAGGTCTGGACCCTTTCCCCGGGACCGGTTTTCCGTCGTGAGTCGCTTTTTGACGGTCCCGAGGCCCGGTGAGGGCCCCCAGAGGCCGCGAACGGCCAAAAACCTTCCGTCCTGATCTTTTCACGATGCGATCACGTCTGGGGAGGGGGCGTCCTCAGGCCCGCAGGAGCGAGCCGCACTGAATGCTGCGAAATTACTCGCCGAGGGCCCCGGACGCCGCCGCCGTCGTCGTCGTCGTCGTCGTCGTCGTCGTCGTCGTCGTCGTCGTCGTCGTCGTCGTCGTCGTCGTCGTCGTCGTCGTCGTCGTCGTCGTCCTGGTCGTCTTCGTCATCGTCGTCGTCGTCGTCCTCGTCGTCGTCGTCGTCCTCGTCGTCCTCGTCGTCCTCGTCGTCCTCGTCGTCCTCGTCGTCGTCGTCGTCGTCCTCGTCGTCCTCGTCGTCCTCGTCGTTTTCGTCGTCCTCGTCGTCGTCCTCGTCGTCCTCGTCATCGTCGTCGTCGTCGTCCTCGTCGTCGTCGTCGTCCTAATCGTCGTCGTCATCGTCGTCGTCATCGTGGAGTCTCTGAGGGCCCCGGACACCCCAGAAGCCTGGGCGCCCTCGGGCGCTCCTGCGCGTGCCCAAACCGTGGCGCACGACTTGTCCCGAGGTCGTGGGAGAGCGGTTCGGGGGGCCAGGGGAGGAGGAGTTAGGAGGAGGAGGAGGAGCAGGAGGAGGAGGAGGAGTTAGGAGGAGGAGGAGGAGTTCGGAGAAGGAGGAGTTAGGAGGAGGAGGAGGAGTTAGGAGAAAGAGGAGTTAGGAGGAAGAGGAAATGGCCCCGCAATGCCGTCCCGAGGCGCTCTTGGGAGCCGCTTGGGCCGTCATAGGGGCCCTGGAGGCCAGCCCGGGATGTCAAAGACTCGTGAAAACTCGTCGTCGTCGTCGTCGTCGTCGTCGTCGTCGTCGTCGTCGTCGTCGTCGTGGTCGTCGTCGTCGTCGTCTCCGTTGGCGTCGTCGACATCTAGGGTCGGCGGCACCGGCCGTAAGGCCTCTCCAATATGTGCATGCGAGAGTTTACCATGATCGCCGTTTCAGCATCAAGACCGCTCCAAGAGGGCCCCCGAGCCCCCGAGAGCGGCCCAAGAGGGGGCAGGCGGGGGCGGGTCCCTGGTCCTTGAGCGCGCGGGCGCGCGGTGCCTGGCTCTTGTCTTTGAGGCAGGGGGCGAGAAGAGGGAAAAGGACCAGTGTAAACCCAGGACGTATCAACGATAAAGTAAAGTAAAGTCGTGATTGCAGTAGCCGTCCACGATGTGTGACTTGCTGCATGGCGAGTACCCTTCTCATCATATGCTTAGTGATAAGGCTGGCTAGAACACGAAGTTGAAGCTCGCCTCAGCGATGGTACTGAAGGTGACCCCGTCGGTCGGCCTTGAAGGCCTCGGGGTTGGGAAGGTGGTCCTGGACGAGCCAGCTTTCTCCGTCGACAAGATGCTGCAGCGAAGTGTCGACCTCGTAGTCGGCGTAGGCCAGCTGGTCCTCGTACCTCTGCGAGTGCTCTGTGTAGAGCTGGGAGGCGGTGTCACCGCACGCCTCATCTGCACGCTTGTTGAGAAGTCGAACTTCGGCATCGGCGTGCTGTGTGTCTGGGGCCCACCGTGGGTTCTTGTCGTGGCTGGGGGCCCAGTGCGCCGAGCAGCCCGCAGGTTGTGTACCAGCAGCACGGCGTAGGTCGGCCCAGTCAGCCAAGGCGAAGTCTGAAAATGATGGCTCTCCTCGCAGTAGGGCTTGGAGGCATCGTAGCACTGTCTCGTCGTTGATGTAGACGACGAACTGAATGCCCTGGTGAGCCGCGGCCTCGACGAGGAAGGCAATGGCAGCACGCTCAGCCACCGTGGACGACGAGTCCAATGAGGTGACTGGGCCCGAGAAGGTGGAGTCGGGCTCCGCGGCGATGGCGATCGCAACTGCTCCTCGGCTGAGTGTGGACCAACCTGTGCGCGGTGGGCCCTTGACTGACCCATCGGTCGCCACGAGGAGGGGCCCCTCGGCGGTCTGGGAGCACCTGACCAAAGCCTCCCGAACAGCACGAACCTGTAGTTCTCGCTCGGCAGCTGGTTGGCGCAGAGGAAGTGGCGTGGGTACCGGGGACGCTGGCAGCGGCTTCTCAAGCTCTGTGGTTGGTTGAGATCTCCCTGCAAAGCAGAGGCAGCCCCAGGCCCAGTGCTCTCGGGTAGCAGGATCGCCACAGCGACAGATGCCTCCCCGCGGGAGGTCGTAGCCGTGGCGCTCAGTGATGCTCTCGATGATGTGGCGGTCGTACGAGCATCCAAGGCAGCACGTTGTTGTGCGTAGGTGCCCAGTCCCATGAACAATTCTGCTCGTCGTGTACGTACTTCTCCACACAGCAATCGGGCCTGGGTGGCGGGGTCCCGTGCTCTGGGTTCAGCACGCCATACCTGGTGGAGGTGCGCTCTCCAGGCGATGTGCTGTAGTGCACTCTTCCCCACCCTCGTGTGGTCGAGGTCGCCATCTCGTGTGGTGTAGGTCGAGACAAAGGGCTCCAGGTCGGTGGTGGTCGTGAGCTTGGCTCCCGACCTGGTAGTAGTAGTAGGCTTAGCCTTCCAGCCCCATTTCCTCAGCACCTCCTCTCAGCGCGGGTGTAGGTCGTGCGCCTGTGGTTGGCCACGGTGGTGACGCCGAAATCGCCATACCTCGTGGATCAGCGAGTCGAAGTCGAGTTGAAACTCCAGTGAGGACTGTGGCCCAGCCACTGCAATAGCTAGGGCTCTGGAGGAGCGCTCGGGCCTCAACAAAATCACGTCCAGCAAGAGGGTGTCCCACTTGCGATACACGTGCTTCGGGGGTCGTTGCCACCGCCCTCCCCACCTGAGCGTGGAAAGCACCAGGCATTGGGCGAAGCGCTTCCTCCTTTGCCAGCCCATGATGTATGGCACCGCCAGCCGTAGTCGTGAGAGTTGGTAGAGCGCTCTGTCACTGCTCATCTCGCGAACCATGGTAGGTGGCCCACGTCGTAGTGCGAGCCTCACTCCCAAGATTTCCACGTAGTGCTTCTGTTTGCCAACTCGATCGCAGATCGCGGTAGCTGGGGTCCTGTGTAGGTCTGGTGTGGTATGGTCGTAGTCTGGTGGCTGGTGCTCTGTCTCGCCGTCGTGGTGGTCGCGGTGGTGGTCTGCCTCGTGGTCGAGGTGGTCGTGGTCGAGCTCGTGGTCTGCCTTGTGGTCGAGGTGGTGCGGACGAGGTCGTGGTGGTGCTGGAGGTCGCGCTGGTTGCGCGACCTTGCCCCTGGCGAAGGTCGCTCCTTTGCCTTCGTTCCACTGCCAGCCTGCCCGAGCATCATAGCGCCAAAAAATGCCAGGAGGGCATCGCGGCACCTCCGCCAGGCCAGCGGTCCTCTCGCCCATATGGTACGATCGTCGGCATAAGCCCTCACATGCACTTGAGGAGCCTCCGAGCTGACGTACTTGATCCACAAGTTTATGTCACACAAGAGGAGGATCACGCTCGCTGGGCAGCCTTGCAAGAGTCCTCTCGGAGGGAGGATGGGGCGATGTGCCACGGCGCCCTCAAGTTCCAAGAACATCTGCCTCTGGGAGCAAAAGCTCTGCACGGCATGGAGCAGGCCCTCTGGCGCGCCTTGGTGTCGCAGTAGGTGCAGAGCCCGTGCCACGCTGCAGCGATCGAAGGCCTTGGAAAGGTCGATCTTCGCCCCGTAGATGGAGGGGCCTGCGTCTTTGGCGTCCTCAATCTGCGTGGCCAGTGCTTCCACAAGTTCTGCCGGGTCTCTGCCTGGTCCTGAGGCAATTCGTGGATCGAGCCACCAGCGGGCCCAGGCCCTGAGCTGTCGCACAATATTGCTCACCCCCAGCCTCCACGCGATACTCGCTATCCCCATGGGTCGGAAGCCTCCTGAGCCATCGTGTTTCGGAATCAGCACAACTCGTACTTGTGCCCATACAGCTGGCACCTTGGCCCCTCCCAGTATCTGGTTCCAGCTCCTTGCAAGGAGGGCGTACCAACGCGTTGGTAGTCGTGCTAGATGTCTGGGTAGCCAACCGTCGGCACCACCAGCTTTCGCTGCAAGTTGCTTGGCCCGCTTTCGGAGTAGTTCACCTATCACGTCGACGAAGAGCTGCGACCCTGTGCGGAGTTGGCATCAGGCAGCAGGGGGATGAACTCATCGGCCGATTCTGGGGACGCCGGTGGGGCACACCAGATTCCCTCCCAAACCTCTCGTTCGTGCTCAACTCTTTGTTGTGGGTGGAGTGGTCCACGCACTTCCTGTACTGGAACGTCGGGTCGCTGTTGCTTGAGCCATGCCAGGGTATTGCTGTCGTTGGTGGTCATGTCCTCGTTCCAGCTGCTGAGCCTGGCCAGCTTGTCGTTCAGCTCTCTGTTGTGGATGATATCCTCGAAGATGCCCTTGCCGAAGTCGGTGTGGAGGTCAACTTCGCCGAGCTCTGAGAATCTCCTAGCCAGCAGCCCCTGTCGTCGACGAGTTGAGCGCTCGGTCTCAGGATCGCCTGGTCTGAGTGCGGCTTGTCGGATGACTCTGTGCAGCTTGTACAGCTGGGCCCCGGTGTTGGTCTCGTCGTTGATCTGCTTGGTGGATGAGCCGTGGACGTGCACCACTTTGGCCGAAGCTGACCTGGGTCGGCCCTTGGCCACCTCATGTGTGAGTAGGCTCTCGGTATGGCCGGAGAGGAGCTGCCACATGGTGTTGGCGTCCTGGTGTGACTCTGCTTTGTCGAACGAGTGCGCGAACTGGCTTTAGACCTGCTCCCAGGTGCCCTCGGTGATGTCCTCGTCGCCGATGAGCGGCACCCTGCTCTTGTAGGTGCGCTGCTCCTCCTGGGATTAGCAGGCGAGGTCGTAGTACACCAAGTCGTGGTCTGCTCCTCCTTCAGCTTGCCCCCGATATGTGACTGTGAGGTCGCGATGGAAGAGAGCATACTCGAGGTGTCGGCCCTTGTCGTGAGTGGCCTTGTCGATCTCGGCAGGCGCCTCAGGAAGGTGGAGACGGCAATTGAGAAGAACCTCGGCTACGCAGCCCTCAGTGGGCACCATGTTCCAGTCCCCGATGCAGCACAGGCGCCGACGTAGGACAGCGGCGTGCTGAAGTATATGCTGCAACACGGGCTTGGTACCAGCCATGGGGGTGTAGCCATGCAGGTTGGCGAGGACGATGGGCTCTGCTCGTGGAAGATGCAGTGCGGCCATGACCACCCTGTCGTTGCCAGCGGACTCTGGGACTTCCAGTTGCACAATAGGTTGCCTGGAGAAGATGATGGGGTCTATGAGGAACCTGCCATCATTGAGGCCTGGTGGGCCTGCTGCTGTGCACTTGTAGCCACGCCGCCGTGCATCCTTGATCATGGCAGGCAGGCTGGCGAGTGAGAGTCGGGCCTCGTGGATGCAGAGAATGTCGACGTCATAGATCTTCGCAAGGGTGAACACCTTCACTGCCTTGACGGAGAGGCCCTGCACGTTGAGAGTGGCAAGTCGGAGCAGCGAGTGCTCAGCAGTAAACTCAGCGGGTGCAGCTGGATCGCCAGTGCTGATCAGCTGCTTGGTGAAAGCTTGGGTTGAAACAGTGATTTGTCTTCGTACAGTCGGCGCCTCAGCCACATGTCTGGCGCTGGTGGGGGGCCTCACAAACGGCTCCCCGCAGTCGCCGTCGCGGGCGCCCTCCTTGTGCCTGACCCCGCCGAGGTGGCTGCTGCCGAAGATGGCGAAGCGATGGGAGCCGAACTCGACGAGGATGGGGTGGCTGTGACCTTGGCCTTCTCAAGGTAGCCGATGGCCACCCGAAGAGCCTTGCTGCGGGCCACCCTCCTGACCTTGTCGATGAGGCGTCGTCGTCTCTTGATGGTGACCTCGGTGAACACCCAAGGACACGAGGTCGGGAGGTTGTTCGTGGGCTTCATCTCCAGCATGCCACACTTCGCGCAGACGAATCGCGATTTGCCTTTGTGGTGTCCAAGTGGCCATCGAAACTTGCGCCAGTCGCGGCCGCACCCCCCCCCCCCCCCCCCCCCCTGAACGGAGGTACCGCGTCGCTCCAGGGCAGCCTCACGTCCAGCTCGACGAGCCTGGTAACAGAAGTCGAGGACGTCCTGGATATTCTGCTTGTGGCCGGGGTCGCCTTCCTCGGTGAGGGCCTTCTCAGCCTGCCTGATGGTGACCTCCAGCTTGCCCGATGGTCTGGCGATGGCCTGGCAGATCCCCAGCTTGTTGACTGAGGAAGCCTGGCGCCAGCACTGCCGACAGCGCACGTGGGTTCTGTCGCGCCCGATGCCATACGGCATGCGGAAGTACCCGAGCTTGTGGCCAGTGATCTTGGCCTTGAGCAGTCCCCGCGAGCGTCTGGCTAGGGCCTGCTTGGCCTGCGCCTGGTAGACTGCGCTCCCCTTATTGTGGTGGAACTGCTTCACGTGTGCCTTGGGATGGTGTCGGAGACGATGCGCGAGTCGTGCACCTCGCGCCGCCGCCGCGGTGGGTGTCGTGATCAGGCCCATGGGGCAGAGTGGACACGTCCACGTGAGTTCTTTGCCAGGAAAAGCCCCGACCAGGGTGGGTTTGACGATCCTCAAGTCCTTGGCCTGCTTCTCGTGATAGAAGGCGATGTGAGCGCAGTTCTTGCTGTAGAGGTAATTGCCCGAGATGGTGAAGCCCTTGCAGGAGGCGATCGGGCATGTCCACGTGGTCGCGGTCGGTCTATTGCTCCCCGAGGCCTCCACTGCGTGGGCAGCCTTAGGTGGTGGCGTGCTGAAGCCCTCGAAATCGTCGAGGTCGTCCATGTTGGCCACGTCACCGATTGTGGAGGCCTTGTCCTGCTCTGCTAGTGCCTGTTTGCGCCATGTGCGGCAGATGGCGGGCGTGGATGTCTTCGACGAAGTTGCCGAGGCGCCACCTCGCATACCCTTGTGTCCACCGGCTTGGGCGGTGGAGGTGTCGTCGTCTGGTGGCGTGGTCGTGAAAAGCTCGTAGTGCCCAGCCTCGAACCAAAGCCCGATGGGCGCTATGCCCTTCTTCGAGACCTGCCAAATCTGAGATGGGCCCTGTCGTTGGTACACCATGAGTGGGATCTTGTAGTGCGCCACGAACAGCGCCAACTCGAGGTTGCCGAGCCAGGCCCCGAGCTTGGACATGGCCAAGCAGTAAGCCGAGAAGCCCCCTGGAAGTGGACGCTCTTCTCGTTCTGGTGCCTTGCCGTCCCAGAGGGGCGACCAGTGCTGTTGTCCTCGTCTCTGCATCGCCTCGGCGACGTTGTACCTGACGGTCTCGTGGTCTGTGGGCGTGGATTGTCGCGCATTGAGTCCTTGTGCCAGTGCCAGCGGGAGGCCGTTGCCTGCACCTGCATTCTCTTTAGTCTGGATCCAGGTCGGTCGTGGAGCCAAGGCAGGACGCTTGGCCTTGGGCGCGCCTGCTCCCGCAGGCCTCGCTATTGACTTGCCCTTGTCCTTCTCCGTGTCGTTGCCCTCCATCTTCTGGTCCTCGTCCTTGTTCTCCTCCTTCTCCTCCTTCTTGGCCCCCTCGCCATCCTCCCCCCCCCTCCCTCGGGGGAGCCTCAGGGGCAGCAGCACGAGCGGCGTTGCTGGTGGACTTGGGGGTGTAGGCCACCCTCCCCTCGCCTGGAAGGAGCTTCCTCTCTGGCGTGGGCTTCTTCGGGTTGTCGATGAAGCCGAACATGCTGACTGACTCGCCATCGGCCTCCTGGACGACCTCAAAGAAGGCGAGGTCCCCTGGGGCAGTGGCGCGGACCACCCAGGCGCGCCTGGCCAAGGATGAGCCAGGGACCCTGGGGTGGTGCCTGTTGGCAATGAACTCTGCGTCCTTGAGGCCGTTCTCTCTGACAATGTTGTGGACGTCGGTGTAGCTGTGGCCCGCTGGGACCTGCTCCAGCTTCCATGCGCGAACCTTGTCGTCGGTGGCAGGCCGAGGTTGGCGAAGCCCTAGACTGCATGGCGGTGGGCAGGGTGCCTGCCACCTAGCTGGCTCCACGAAGAAGCGAAGCCCCGAGGGCCCACGGTGCCCTGAGTGCGTGAGCAGCTCGGTGAGTGCAGGGACCTCCATGCGCCAGAGGCCCATGATGATGTCGTCCTGGACGTAGAACTTGAACGTGTCTCTGAGCTCCCCCTGGATGCCATCGGTACCAACCTCGCGAGCCCAGGCCCTGGCCAAGTCGCCAGGCTTCTTGAGGATGTTGTCCCAAGAGTCGGTGTACTTCTTCTCGGTGGACACCCGCACAACGACAGTGTCGGGTGTGGTGGCCTTGACTGTGGTGATATTGACCTTCGCTCTGACATGTGGGGCGTCGGGGCTGCTGCGCCAGATGCCCACGTGCTTGACCGTGGTCTGCTGCCTGCCACGCGGCCTCCAAGGAAGATCTCGGCTTTCCTCCTCTGCTCGAAGGTCTTCTCGACGCTTGAGCGGTCGCACTCGAAGTACCCGCACGAAGTCATACATGTCGAGGAGTACTTGCAGGCCCTCGAGGTCATCATCGTCGTGGACTTGGACCACCGCCTTGAGTAGCTTGCCACCGTCTGAGTTGAAGCTGGTGGCCATGGTCCTCAGGCCCTCCACCGTGAAGATGGGCCCGTCGAAATCTTCCGGCCGAGCGGCCCACAAATCAATCCAAGGAGTGGTATCAGGTGCCGTCGGGGTCGAACTCTGAGTGTCGGGCTGCTTTGGGGGCCCGCCTTGGGAGGCGCGCCTTCCTTCGTAGCTGCTGCCGTCTTTGCCTTCGCCTTGGCCTTGGGTGCGGCCTTGGCCTTGCCCTTGGCCTTCGCCTTCGTCCTGGTGGACTTCGGCTTAGTGTCGTTGTGGTTGAGCAGCTTGGCCAACATGCCGAGCAGGTTGGAGTTGCCGCCGTCAGAAATGAGCTTGATGAACGTGTTCACCAGCTGCTGTAGGAGCCCAGACAAGTCGCCCTTGAGCTCGTTCGCCTTGGCCTTGTTCCTGCGGAACTTGGGGGGGCCGTCTCCCGCGATGTGAGGTCTGCAGCCCCGTAGTTTGCGTGCCTGCGCCCGTTGGGAATAACCCCATGCATTCACAGTCATCTGCATGCCCGGGTGCTGTACCCCCAGCACGCCATGCATCTCTGACTGCTCCCTTTCCCCTGTCAATTGCCAAAGGTGAAGGCGATCACCTCGTGGATGGTCATATTGCTGATGAAAAACGGCACGAAGGCCACGTAGAAGCACTCATTGGGACACGCCGAAGGCCCCGCCGACCTGGTCGACGAAGAAGATGAGCTTGCCCAAGTGGATCAGCTGGTCCGAGTGGTACTGCTGGTCCGAGTGGTGCTGCTGGTCCCCGATGGGCAGCTGGTCCACGTAGGAGGCCTGGTCCTCGAGGGGTTCCCCGAGGAGCTCGTGCCTGCCGAGGGCACCGAAGTCGCCATCGTGCACGAGCATCTGGTTGTGGTGGTCGGTGCTCTGCTGCTTTGTAGTCGGTGCCCTGCTGCGTTGGTGCTCCCTGTGTGTCGCCTCACCATTTCATCCAACTGGTGATGTGTATTTTGTCAATGTCCCGCCGAACTTCGTGGAGGCCCACATCATAGCTGCAGTCAGACACGCCCTCTCTGGGCCAGCACCAGCTACGCCAGCGCCGCCAGGAGAGCCGCCCGAGGCAGCAGCCATGGCTCGGCCCAGCCGGATCCCCCCCCCAGCTGTGCTGAGCCACAACGGCTAGGACGTATCAACGATGCTGTGATAAAAGATCCCTCCGAGTTCCTTTATTGGCCCCTACGAGAATTCACTGTCATCGCGGAAAGCGCCCCATCGAAAAACAACCGTCAGAGAATCCTCAATCGTGCCAGAACACCATCCCTGGGACGTCGAAACAACGAATCAAAGTGACTGTTGCGTCCTGACAATCCTGAATCGTACCAGAACCATATTCCTGGGACTTCGACACTGCGAATCAACATGATTGATGCGCCCCGACAAGCCCAACTCGCATCAGAACACAATCCCTGCGACTTCAACACTACGGAACCTCCAGACTGCTGCACATGTTGAAGACGAATGCGCGCGGCACTAAAGCGAGAGCTACCACTTGAGAAAGGAACCGCCCTCTATCCTTGAAGTTGCTGCAAACTTCTAAAACAAATGTGCGCGGCGCTGAAGCCTCGACCCGTTCCCCAGGGCCGGTTCTTCGTCCTGAAACGTCTTTTGACGGCCGCGAGGCCTGCGAGGGTCCCACGAGGCCGAAAACGGGCAAAAACCTTCCGTCCTGATCTTTTCACGATGCGATCATGTCTGGGGATGGGGTGTCCTCACGTCTGCAGGAGCGAGCCGCACTGAATGCTGCGAAGTTACTCGCCGAGGGCCTCGGCCACCGTCGTCGTCGTCGTTGTCGTCGCCGCCGCCGTGGTCGTCGGCGTCGACGACGACGAGGAGCGCTACTGCAAGAGGGGACGGCCACCGCCGCCGACACGGCCGACACGGCAGCAGGGCGGGGCCCTGGGGGGGGCGGCCACATGTTTCAGGCCGAGCCGCCTGCCTTGGCCCCATAGCACTCCTCCTCCTTCTCCTCCTCCTCCTCCTCCTCCTCCTCCTCCTCCTCCATCTCCACCTCCTCCTCCTCCTCTCCTCCTCCTCCTCCTCCTCCTCCTCCTCCTCCTCCTCCTCCTCCTCCTCCTGCACCTCATCTTCCTCCTCCTCCTCCTCCTCTTCCCCCATCCTCTCCTCCTCCTCCTCCTCCTCCTCCTCCTCCTCCTCCTCCTCCTCCTCCTCCTCCATCGGCAGCGCCTGTCCCAGGGCGGGTGGGAAGTGGATACCCCAACGGTGGCAGGTGGGGGTATAAACCTTCCAGCCGCCCTGGGTCAACTATCCCTGACGGCGGGAAAGAATATGTCATACCGCTCTTTGCCCGCCAATTGAAGGAAGGATCGAATCAGAAGAACCTGCATAACACAAACTGTCGGAGCTCCGCGCGAGTCTCTTGGATCGGCGCTGCCTGGCGGGCTGAGCGCGCCCGGGGCGCGCGCCAGCGGCAGGCCAGGGGGCTCCAGCGCAGGATCGAGAGATCGGCACGAGCTCCGAAAGTTTTACGTATACGCCGATGCTTTTCCCTAGGGGAGAGCAGAAAGGAGCGGCGGAGGCCTTGGCGGGGTGCCTCACGAGCAGCGACCGCAACCATACCCACACCCTCGCTGTCTGGACTCCAGGGATAGACCCGCAGGTACACGGTCGCACGGATACGTTCCGCGCGGGACATCCGCAAAACAAAGAAAACGCCACGTATCCGCGGGGTCGCGGCCCAGGGGCCTGGCCCGACAGGCCGCGCATACTAGCCCAGTCATGCGACGTCCTGATTTCTTCAATACGAGATCCCTGGAAATCCCAACCCTTTCCCTGGGACCGGTTCCTCGTCCTGAATCGTTGTTTGACGGATGTGTTTTTCGCCAACGAGTGCCCGCAGGAGGGGAGGCTGCACACACGGGGCGGGGCAGAGGCTTCGGCGGGGGAGGGGGAGGAGGGGGAGAGGGAGGAGGAGAGGAGGGAGGAGGAGGAGGAGGAGGAGGGAGGAGGAGGAGGAGGAGAGGAGGAGGAGGGGGAGGAGGAGGAGAGGAGGAGGAGGAGGAGGAGGAGGAGGAGGAGGAGGAGGAGGAGGAGAGCCGCCCTGGGCGGGCCTTCTCTCACGGGCAGCTCCGCCAGCGTGGTCGTGGCGGTCGTCGTGGGCTCCTGCGCTGCATTCCCTGCTGCAGCCCCTCACGCCACAACCTCCTGCTGCTACCCCAGCACGCCGCCCAACCCGCTCCTGCTCCTGCTCCCGCTCCTGCTTCTCGTCGTTCTCGTCGTCCTCCTCCTCCTCTTAGTTCTCCTCCTCCTCCTCCTCCTCCTCCTCCTCCTCCTTCCTCCTCCTCCTCGTACTCCTCCACCTCCTCCTCTTTCCCCTTCTCCTCCTCCTCCTCCCCCTCTCCTCCTCCTCCTCCTCCTCCTACTCCTCCTCCCCCTCCTCCTCCTCCTCCTCCTCCTCCTCCTCCTCCTCCCCTCCTCCTCCTCCTCTCCTCCTCCTGTTTTCTCCTCCTGTTCCTCCTCCTCCTCCTTCTCCTCCTCCCTCCCCCCCCTCCTCCTCCTCATCCTCCTCCTCCTCCTCTCCTCTCCTTCTCTCCTCATTATCCTCCTCCTTCTCTTGCTCCTCTTCTAGTCATCATCATCATTATCATCCTCATCCTCATCCCATCCTCATCATCACATCATCATCATCATCATCATCATCATCATCATCATCATCATCATCATCATCGTCATCGTCGTCGTCGTCATCATCATCAGCAGCAGCAGCATCAGCAGCAGCAGCAGCATCAGCATCATCATCATCATCATCATCATCATCATCATCATCATCATCATCATCTATCATCATAATCATCAGCATCATCAGCATCATCAGCATCATCTCAGCAGCATCATCATCATCGTCACCATCACCATCATCATCAGCAGCAGCATCATCATCATCATCAATCATCATCATCATCATCATCATCATCATCATCATCATCATCATCATCATCATCATCATCATCATCATCATCATCATCATCATCAGCATCATCATCATAATCATCATCATCATCATCATCATCATCATCATCATCATCATCCTCATCATCATCATCATCATCATCATCATCATCATGCTCATCATCATCATCCTCAACATCATCGTCAGCATCGTCATCGTCAGCATCGTCATCATCAGCATCATCATCAAAATCATCAAAATCATCATAAACATCATCGTTGCCGTCATCAGTTACATCATCACCATGATCATCAGCATCATCATCAGTATCAGCATCACCATCATCGTCAGCATCATCTGAATCATCATCACAATCATCATCATCATCATCATCAGCAGCATCAGCATCAGCATCCCCATTAAGATCATGGTCATTGTCATCAGCAGCAGCATCATCATCAGCGTCATCATCACCACCACCGCCATCAGCATCAGCAGCAGCACCATTATCATCGTCATCATCATCAACATCAACATCAGCATCAGCATCAGCATCATCGTCAGCATCATCATCAACATCAGCATCGTCATCATCATCAGCATCAGCATCCGCAACAGTAGCATCATCATCTTTAGTATCATCAACATCAGCAGCAGCATCGTCGTCATCATTACCATCACCATTACCATTACCATCCCATCACCATTACCATCATTACCAGCATGATCATCAAGCCAATTCATCATCATGTTTGCAATCATCATCACCATCACCATAACCAAGATCATCAGCAGCAATATCGTCAGCAGCATCATCACTATGATCATAATACTAGTATTCTTCATCACCGTCATCATCATCATTATCACCAGCATCGTCATCATCATCATCGTCATCGTCATCGTCATCATCACTATCACCATCACCATCAACATCACCATCACCATCACCATCACCACCATTATCGTCATCACCATCATGACCCTAATCAGCATCCGCATCCTCATCGTCACCATCATCAGCCGCAGCATCAGCATCAACACCGGCATCAGCATCAGCATCAGCATCATCACCAACATCACTTCCATTATCATCATCATCATCATCATCATCATCATCATCATCATCATCATCATCGTCATCATTATCATCGCCGTCATCGTTATGATCATCATCATCATCATCATCATCATCATCATCAGCATGATCATCATCATCATCATCAGCATCAGCATCATCATCATTATCCCTCTCCTTCCTCCTCCTTGTCCTCGTCGTCGTCATCGTCATCGGCATTGTCATCATCGTCATCGGCATCGTCGCCGTCACAATCCATCCATCTATCAATCCGTCCATGGTTCTCGTACCAGCCATGGCGGCGGCAAGGATGGAGAGCAAGACGACCCGTCATCCGAAGCAGCAGTAGCCACCGTGATCAAAGCTGACATTCAAACGACTCTGCATGCAGAGCAGACAGCAAGGATGCAGAGCCAAGCGGCTCGTCATCTTCAAGAGCAGTCGCAGTGGTCTCGACATGTTTTCTTTTAATCTGATTCGGATCGTCAAAACGGAAATACGCACTGTGTGCGGGTGCCAGCACGAGCAACCCCAGACCTTGAGAGTTGCCCGCAGTGGAAAATCCAAGCGGTCACGTCTATTCCTCCATCAGAACGTGAAGCTCGACGTTACAAGCATCTGCGGTTGAATGAAGAGAGGGTAGACAGAACAACGTGGATTCATTTCGCAACAGAACGTGAAGCTCGACGTTACAAGCATCTGCGGTTGAATGAAGAGAGGGTAGACAGAACAATTTCGACTCATCTCCAAACAACAAAAACTCAATACTGGTAAACCTCTACGGTGTGCTCTTCCTGTTTTACAAACTGAAAGCCTACCCTGGCACAGTCAGCTCCATTAAGGCTTAATCTGGCTCGACATCATCTATGGTTCGATGGATCGCAGCATCGCTTGAGTCGAGCCTTCCATTGGGCCTTAAAACCTGGGCTGGCCGGGCCCAGGCCAGGGCCGTTGAAAATGGATCTGGGACACTACCCGCGAGGAAGTATTGGTAAGAGTCCTATCGGCGGACGTCTTCCATGCTCGAGGCCCCCAGAACGCCGACGTCACTACTGTTTCAGAGAACATATCCGCACCCCTCTCATGAGTTGCACAGCACACGCTTCCATTCCTCGGTACCGTTCTGATCAAGTGAGCCTGCGGCGTTTTGGTCCAAGTGTAGGTAGCTGCCCACCGCCCTCCTCCGACGATCGAGCAGTGCCCTCCATCGCGCTGCCATCCACCTCGTGCTCCTTCTCGACTGCTGTGCATTCATCCGCTTTGCCCTCAGTCCGATCTTCATTATCCTCCATAAAGGCTCGACTCTTGTTCTCATGCTCCTTTACCACGTTGCACTGCTCGGCTGCTTCGCTCGCATCTGGCTTCTTTCGCACTCGACAGTATTCCGTATTATTCTCACCTTCACCGTCGACCGGCTGGTCCATCATCAAAGCACGCACAGCCTTGTCTTGAAACCAAAAAACGCGGCCACTGTCGAACTTGACGTAGTACTGCTTGATTCGAGTACGTTCTCCGATGAATACATCGTTCACTATCCCAGCATGAACCGCATTATCACCAAATCGAGTCGAGCACTTCAGCTTGATTCGTGCTCCAAGCAAGATATCATGTTCTTTTTCCTCCGTTGGGAGCGGTTTCAATGAATCTCTTTTTGGTTTACCCAGTCTATGCTGGACTATCGTTAGGTCCTGGCGCATGCACAACGCAAGGTCAGGGGCATACAATTTCTCGCGACTACGGAGCACACGAGTGCCTGCAACAAGATCGAACAGTTGCGCATGCAGCCCTGTGAAAGCAAAGATTGCTTGTTTCACGTCTGCAATGGTCCAATCGGACATGGCAGAAACGAGGCACTGCTCGCCAGTGAGCCGAACGCACCGTAAACAAACTGAAACGGGTTCATGCTGCATGGCCGCTGCTGAAGCTGAAAAACACAGATGGCTACGGACGACGACGACGACGACGACGACAACGACGACGACGACGAGGTTTCGGACGGCTTCCGCCTTGTTGGGCTCCGCGCCGCCACGGCCGAATCCCCCTCGAGATTGTGGCCAAAACGCGCCCCTGGGCGCGGTCTTGGGGTCGAAATCTTCGGCCGCGAGACCAAGACCTCCGGCGTCTTGGAGGGATGAAAGTGGAGGCCTCTCGCCATCTTCGGCCCCCCAGGGGGGGGGGGGCGTCCTCCAGCTCTCGGGGCCGTCTTCGGCCCCTCTGGGGGCCGTGCTCGCGAGGGGGGCCGAGGGGTCCGAGGGCGCGCGCAAGGAAAGCGAGCACTCAGGCAAGACTGAAAGCAGCCGACGCACACAGGGCAGCCAAGGTCCGGTGGGACCCCCGCGCAATACGCTCAGCCCAGGAGCGCTCTCCGCCCGTGGACGCCCGCGAGGGTGCTGCAGTCCCTGGTCCTGCTGCGTCCGCGCCGCCACGGCGGGTGGACAAAAAGTGTCCACACCTATCTCGCCAACACGAGTCGACATCGAACTGCGTCGAAGAAGTATCCATGGTCCCCGCCCCCCCCCCCCAAACCCAAAGTTGACGGGGTTGGGTGCGAGGCAACGCGCGGGGGACAAAACACGGACACTTCAATTTTGGGTTTGGGGGTGAGGGGGGGCGAGCCACATGTATATTGCGATTATCGTTACCAGCATGCCTGATTGTCTTCACGCCGTCGACGTCGTGGACACTTTTATATGGGCACCGAAGTTGCTCGGCTTCGCTTTGAGCAAAAGATTATCCAGAGTTTCTTTTGTGACGAGATCGACGACAGTTGCGCGGTCGGCCTGGCGCCCGAAGTCAACAGGAATGCGTGCGATCGACCATGTTCAACTCGTTCCATCATGCCCACTTCAGGTTTCGACGACTTGCCTTGATGCTTTGTCTATGATGAATCGAATCGTCACTCATCGCCACACGCACTGCAAAAGAACCTAACTGCTCGAACAAAGCGGATACATTGCTGGAATATCCGAAACAATCCTCTGACATGATACATTTGCGGAAGTACTTTTGCATCCTTGACATCAGGATGATGATCATCATGAGGATATGTTGGCCGAATGCCGTGGCAAACCGTATAAATATCATCCGACGCACTGTGCAACGAACAGCCATTAATATCAACTCTTTTACCAGCCGCATCG